ATTTATAATAAGCTGATATAGTAATTTATTAATTATTAACTTAATATATAATATTTTTTAGTAAGTGTGAAGTTTATTTTTAAGCCGGTTGCAGGAGCAATCACTGTACTCAAAAGTAAAGAAAAAGGAAGAGCGGTTGAACTATCAAGCTCTAGCTCTAGTAGTGCTAGCACTACTAGTAGCGAAAATGATAAAGAGTGATCAGGTAGTGAAAGAGATAGAAGTTATTCTGGCAGCAGTGTTTGCTTTGCTAACAGTAGCAGCAGTCGTAGTAGCAGCAGCGATAATCATAAACCACCAAGACAACTAACTCAGAAGCAAACAACCCACCTTCGTGTAAATATATTTATTATCTCTGTCTTTTTTTTAATAGGTTATTATTATAATTATAATTATAATTATAATAATAATAATAATTGTCACAGCTAATGCTGAAAACGGCTGATGCTGAAATTTGGGGTCTCGATTTAAAAATATAAGCCCTGCTAAAACCTATATATACTTGTTAATTATCAATTCTAACCCTAAACACTAACTCAACTATAAAAAAAAAGCGGGGAAAAAACACTCTAAAAAATTTTTAAAAATACATATCAAAATAGATCCGAAATTCAGCATCAGCCGTTTTCAGAATCAGCTGCTACAATAATTATTATTATTATTATTATTATTATTATTATTATAAGACAAAATTAAAATATTAATAGAGGGGGTAAATTATCTTCTTTAAAACTGGATTCTCAGGTCAAATGGTCTGATCAGTCAAAGGCTATAAAGCAAAAGTTAATCCCGGTATTAATTAAAAATTTGCCTAGGTATAAGCAACATTCTGGTGTGATTGAGAGGATTCTAAAGCAGCATCATAAGATGCAGATACGTACTGCGCAAATAAATGCTGACCCTAATTTATAGTTGCATAATCGCATCAGAATGGGGTAAAATAGTAAAACTAATGAAGTAAAAATAATATAATATTGACTTTATATAAATCAATTCATTTATAAGTCACATACCGATATCACATAGATTTTGAATATTTTTAATTTATCTACTTAAGTTTGGATTATCTTTATAGAGATTGTCATACAATATTATCTTAGTACTTATAATATCTTGATAATAATATACTTATATGTGGCCCATACCACCATTTGTCTACACACATTAATTTTTTTCACTTCTCCCTATCCTTCTTTATCACATCCTCATCTGTCATCTATTCTTCAACAGAATGATATGCATTTTCTCCTTTGCTTCTTGTCAATAACTCCAAGTCATCACGCGAGTATCTTATAATTTTTTTATTTCCTGACTTAATTAAAAAAGACAATACCTTTCGCCTTTTTTTTCTCTTCTAATTTCATAAAAATAAAATATTTAATTATTAAAGTATATAATTCCTGAAAGTCATTTTCTTATATATCATATGCTGATACAGTACTAGATAATATTGTATGACAATCTCTATAAAGATAATCCAAACTTAAGTAGATAAATTAAAAATATTCAAAATCTATGTGATATCGGTATGTGACTTATAAATGAATTGATTTATATAAAGTCAATATTATATTATTTTTACTTCATTAGTTTTACTATTTTACCCCATTCTGATGCGATTATGCAACTATAAATTAGGGTCAGCATTTATTTGCGCAGTACGTATCTGCATCTTATGATGCTGCTTTAGAATCCTCTCAATCACACCAGAATGTTGCTTATACCTAGGCAAATTTTTAATTAATACCGGGATTAACTTTTGCTTTATAGCCTTTGACTGATCAGACCATTTGACCTGAGAATCCAGTTTTAAAGAAGATAATTTACCCCCTCTATTAATATTTTAATTTTGTCTTATAATAATAATAATAATAATAATAATAATAATAATTATTGTAGCAGCTGATTCTGAAAACGGCTGATGCTGAATTTCGGATCTATTTTGATATGTATTTTTAAAAATTTTTTAGAGTGTTTTTTCCCCGCTTTTTTTTTATAGTTGAGTTAGTGTTTAGGGTTAGAATTGATAATTAACAAGTATATATAGGTTTTAGCAGGGCTTATATTTTTAAATCGAGACCCCAAATTTCAGCATCAGCCGTTTTCAGCATTAGCTGTGACAATTATTATTATTATTATAATTATAATTATAATTATAATAATAACCTATTAAAAAAAAGACAGAGATAATAAATATATTTACACGAAGGTGGGTTGTTTGCTTCTGAGTTAGTTGTCTTGGTGGTTTATGATTATCGCTGCTGCTACTACGACTGCTGCTACTGTTAGCAAAGCAAACACTGCTGCCAGAATAACTTCTATCTCTTTCACTACCTGATCACTCTTTATCATTTTCGCTACTAGTAGTGCTAGCACTACTAGAGCTAGAGCTTGATAGTTCAACCGCTCTTCCTTTTTCTTTACTTTTGAGTACAGTGATTGCTCCTGCAACCGGCTTAAAAATAAACTTCACACTTACTAAAAAATATTATATATTAAGTTAATAATTAATAAATTACTATATCAGCTTATTATAAAT